GCCTCTGGTTGACCACGATTTCGAGAGGCGCAAATGAGGCTGAGCGAAAAGATGCAAAAAAGCGCAAAAATTTGCAATTGCACATAAAAAACCTTCCAGAATAATAATAGTATAAAGTGAGGATATGGTAAAATTGTATATCTGCGAATAGTAGTTGGGTTTGGGGATAACGCTGTTGTGGAAATGTTTATTTGGTAACAAAGTGCAAGATGAAGAGAGTGGTTCAACATGTCTATAAAGCCTAACAACCCGACTAGACGTATGAGATAAAGTCATCACACTTCCGCTTTTCCTTGGCACAATTTGACCTTAATGATCCCAAACTGACAGGTTATGGCTGACGGCCTCGTAACCTGGCTTGCACTCGTACAGGCCTACATCTTATCATCTCAGTCAGACTTACTTTCTGGCTTACGCAATCGGGGACATGCTTTTTTATTGGGTCATTAGGCCTTGATAGACCAAGCATTTTATTAAGCTCTTTTATGATTACTCCCGGCAATGGCCAATGTTACGTATTCTGACTTGGTTGTGTACAGATGCTAGCATACGCACAAAAGTACATAGACACACATCTCACACACACTCAAGTACAGGACGGACCAAATCATTCTATATTTATCAGTCTATATCTGTGTATTTAACTTTTCATTATGAGTACACACAGCATGTAGGATAGTCGGATAGTCTTCTTGACTCAATAAAAACTGTAGCCACACAATTCCGCTAAATGCCCTGAAGGGCTGGTGGTTGAATTCTCCCAAAACGAAATTAGCAGTATATGCGAATAAAAGTTGGGTTTCGAGGAATCTCTCGTTTTATAGTGAAAGTGTTCGGTGAACAGATTCGAAGGTCGATTCCACCAGAAGACGACAGCGGATTCCTCTTTACCAGCTGCCGATTGGCTTTACATGAACATTCATGGGGACGCTGTTTCCGAGGCAATCTCTTTCGATTTCGGAGAAAAGGTGCCAAGCTTACGTCCGTCATATGACAAACATCATCAAAGCAAGGTATCATCCTCACAACCAAATTTAAGCAAACGAGTCGAGACCTTAGAATCTCTTCACAACAACACTTTCACTCAAAATGAAAGTAAGCTCAACATTGCGCACAGCCTCACTTTGCAAAGGATTGTCTCCTCCAGATTGGAGTGGAACGCGTTGAAATCCCGTTGTGGTTGCTGATGAGACCAGTTTGGGCGAGGTAGAAACTGCAGTCTACTCCTGCATGGATGAGAATACCTTTGGGAGGCAAGGCTATCTGAAATTCAGTGGACACGTAAGATCTACTCATATGATTGTGGGAAAATGCATCACCTTATTTCGTGAGTGAGTAGGTTTTCGAGACTACCAGCAAATCAGATCTATGAGTTGTGTTCACGCTATTTCGTTTGAGGTGAACAAAACTCATAAATCTGATTTGCTGGTAGTCTCGAAAACCTACTCACTCACGAAAAAAGTAAAGTCGTCGATCGCTGTAGCAAATATAAGTTTGCTTCATCGACGATCCCAATACAGAATGTGATATGGAAAATGTCTGAAATCCCTTGAAATTCACATCTGCCCTATAACCCACTGGTACTGGTGGTACTGCGGCGTAGTGGTTAGCGTGTCGAGATTACGCGCTACACTGTCATAGTTCGACTCCCGCTGGGGGTGTAGATAAGACCCAAGTGAGGCCGAAACTGCAGTCCACTTCAGTCGGGATGAGAAAAACTTTGGGAAAGCAAAACTATGTGAAATTCTTTGAAAAACATCGGCTCTATTCATATCATTGTGGAGAACATCAATTACCAGTCCTTGGTCACCTTAAACGAAATAGAGTGAATAGGGCTCTTATATATTATGCTCGATATATATGTTGAATTCATGAAAAGAAAATGGATATAGTCGCATCAAACGATTGTCTAAAGGTGACATATGTTTTGGCATGTAATTTGTGTTTTTAGTTTTATAGGCAAATTTTCGAGACTACCAGTAGATCTGAATTAAGAGCTAAATTCACCTCCAGTGGGACTCTAACCATGACAATGCGTCGTGTAAGCTCGACACATTAACCACTACGCCACATTATCTCGAGTGCCTTTTGGTCGTAGGACAGATGTAAGCTTCAAGAAAGGCCAGGCATTTTCTCATATCACACTCTATGCTGGGATTGTCGATGAAGCATAGTTATATTTGCTATGGCAAGTACATCTCATATATATCATGCACTGGTAGTCTCGAAAGTCTACGTATGATACAAAAAATAGTTGATATAGTAGATTGCTATATCAAATACAACTTTACTTCATCAACAACCTAACCACAGAATGTGATATGAGAAAATGCTCGTCCCTTTTTAAAGTTCACATCATCCCTCTGACCCAAGGGCACTCGTGGCATTGTGACGTAATGGTTGACGTGTCGCGAGTATACTCCGCATTGACACAAGAAGTGTTCGAGTACCGCAGGGAAGGCTAATGAGTTCAGTTCACTCTAGCTGAGATAATAATAGCTGTTAAGCTTACTTCCATTTCGAGTGAAAGTGTTGGGTGAAGAGATTTGGGTTTCGTGCACAAGCCAACACAAA